GTCCTTGTTCTTCCCTTATTCTCCTTCCCCTCCTGTCCTTGTTCTTCCCTTATTCCCTTCCCCTTCCCTGTCCTTCGTTCTTCCCTTATTCCCTTCCCTCCTGTCCTTGTTCTTCCCTTATTTCCCTTCCCCTCCTGCCCTTGTTCTTCCCTTATTCCCCTTCCCCTCCTGTCCTTGTTCTTCCCTTCTCCTGCTCCTGCTCCCTCCTCCTCCCGCTCTTCTCTGCTCATATCTCTTCTCAAGACTATCAAACTCTCGCCAAACCTCTTGCTCGCAAGCTTTACTTCGCCGGCGAGCATACGTGCTGGACCCACCCATCGCAGGTGCCTTGAGGGACCGGTGCTTCTTCCTCTTACAGCTTCTCAGGTCGTTGGGGCTGCTTTGAGCGGACTGAGGGCGGCAGGAGAGCTGTCGTACGACTTGGGGAGGAGGGAGGAGCGGCACAAGAGCGAGGAGGAGGCGTCGAGAGAGAAATGAAGCGGGCGAGGAGGAGGAAGCTCGGGGCAGCGAGCGAGGAGGAGGAAGCTGATGTGTACAGAGAACGAAAACCAACTAAATGTGTGTGGTCATGATGAGGAGACGATGCGAATGGCCTGCGGGAAGTCAAGGAAGGAGACGGAGGAGGGAGGCGAGTGACCTGAGCTTTGTCGCCAGCATCAACGACGAAGAAGAGAGTGGAAGGGAGGGACGAAACCATGATCCCCTGAGACTCTCCGTTGATGCAAACCTGCTCAGCAGTGAGGACGGGGAAGGGAGAGGAGGGAGGGGATGGGCGGAGAGGGGAGGAGAGACACCAAGATGGTGGGAGAGAGGTGGAGGGGAGGAGGTGGATGATGATGGATGCAGAGAGCAGTCAGGAGAATCGAGAGCTCGAGAGTCAAAGTGACACGTCACCTCCAGCGTCCTCGCGTCCATGTCCACCCGCAGCCCAACTCGGTCGCCAGTGCGAGGGAGGCGCTTAGCATACTCAGCACCTTGATCGAAGTGAAGGAGATTCCCTGCTGTTTCTCAGCTCGCCTCCTCCTCCTTCGCTCTCTACCGTTATGGCACGAGAAGCACCAGCCCGAGTCCGTCTGGTAGGCCGGCGTGCCCGCTAGTATGTCGTGCGTTCCCCTGCATACGCCCAGCTGGATGTAGCAGTCCGGGGTGCCTGGAGAGAAGAATGAGAGGGGGAGAGGGAGTGAGGGAGTGAGGGTGGTGGGGGGGGTGGAGGTGGGAAGGGGAGGGAGGGAGGGGAGGGAAGGGAAGGGAGGAGGGAGGAAACGAAGGAGGGGAGGGGGAGGGAAGGGGAGGGAGGGGAGGGAGGGGAGGGAGGAGGGAGGAAACG